GTGTACTGTGTATATTTATATACATACACTAGTCAACATTTGAAGTGGATCAAAACCTTTCATCAAAGTTGTCCTAAAACCAAAACGTGTCTGTCTTAGGACAACTTTGATGAACTTTTTTGATCCACTTCAAATGTTGACTACTATACATAAAAACACACATACATGCATATATCTAAGAATTGTTTTTGCTATATTTCAGTTATAAATACCTATGCTAAATAGAACAAAAATAATATTATTAATAAAATAGATAAATACATAAACAAATAATAATAAATACACAAACAAATTATTGGATAAACTAATTTCTATATCTTTTTATAAATATTATAAAAATGTTACATGTAATGTATTAACTAACAATAAGTTAAATAAATAAAATACCTACATGTTTATGCCCTGGTTGTTTTTGTTTATATTTTGCCCATCGTTTTTATAAACATTATGTTTGAACTTGTTGCTGTAAAATTTTTGTGCTTATATTTTCAATATATTAATTTATTAATAAGTAATGATAGTGTTCAACTGTGACAATAACTGAATATAATTTAAATTCATGTTTGTAAAATAAATTGTATATGTATTTGCACCCAATAGAGCACATAACCTGGCTATTGGTCCCCAGCTAATTTAAATTTGAGACTTGTTGCAATGATGATCATGAAAGAGTGTGAGATGATAGCACTCTTACCAATGCAGCTGGGAATGCTGCCGTTCCACTGGGCCAGAGCGTTGGGTACAGTCAGGCACTCAATGGCACTGGGCCCCTCCAGGACGTATCCTGCATTGCATTCAAAACTCACCACGGCCCCCACCGCAAAGTTGTTCCCAGTGCGCCTGCCTTGTCTGGGCTCTGGGACTGAGCTGCACTGTGTCGCACTGGTTCTCGGGACAGCTAAAGCAAATAAATGCACCATTGTTAGATGAATTTATACAAAAAAAAAGGACCTTCAGGACCTTAAGGCACCAGCCAAGTGAGAAATTCTTTGCAATGCATTATATATGCAGTCATGCACCAGATTGTTAGCGAAACTGGCACTTTAAAGTTTGAACCACACAGTAGGTACAGTGCATACAGCTGGTTGGGATGCCCCAGAACACCACTACTTTTAATACTTTTATAAGATGCTGTACTTTTCCATTAAGGACACGGCAGGAAACGAACAACGACTGTAGACCACAGGGGAGGTGAGATAATACAATAATGCTGCTTTAGCTCCTAAAAACCATGCTATCTATTATAGAGAAAGATGCAGGGTGTTAAATTTTAACACATTTCAACAGGAGGCCCCATGGCTGCCGAAGAGGTAAAGCACATTTACAGCATCGTTTATAATGTGTGTGTGTGTCTGAGAGAGAAAGAAATGGACCATGCATATTGTGTGAATAATTCAGTACCTAATTCAGATGACTGTGCCTCTCTCAATCAAAACTGACTACATTCACATGACCACAAGTTCTGATAGGCACGTCCCACACACAACATTTGTGCAATTAATAGCAGGCTTGGGCACAATTCAGAAAGTAACAATTGGTTTCCTTTCAGTTCATGATTGAGAAGTTTTAGGATGTTGAACCTGAATTTAATGAAATACAATAAGAAGAAATTCAAAGAGTCCATCAGAAGATTTCATACATTTATGCTGTTTGGCTCCATTCAGAGACTTTAAAAGGTTACATTGGAGAATTCATGGGAAATAATAATGTAAATTGTTTAAATAGTGTGTGTGTGTGTGTGTACATTAAAACACATGTTCATTTTAACATTTACTAATACATTATTAAAATCAAAAGCTGTATCTGTTAATATTATTTAATGGAATTGAGCCTACATTAAATTATTGGTGGAGTTCCCTTTAAAATCTTAAATGATTCCCTTTGAGCTAAATTGACCTGTTTCCCTTACAATTAAATCATACTAAAAATGATAAATTATATTCATAATAATAATAATTATTATTATATAAAAATGCTTCAATAACAGTTGCTTTTTTTTTGGAATTTCATTCCAATTTAAATATTTTCTGCCAAATTCTCAATGAAAATGAGAAACTAAAAGGCATTCTTAACTCAGTTCTAAATGGCACACAGTCCTGGTTAATAGAAAAATTAAAACCACTTTTGTTATGCAGGAAGAGAACTCAAAACTCTCAACTTACCTTGATAGACCAGGTGGAAACCTCTTGAGCTTGACTGGCCCTTGGAAGAGAAGCGAATAAGGATCTGGTTGGAGGTGGCTAGTGGCAAAGATTCACCTGCAAGTACAAACAAGGTGTCATGACATTTGGCGACATTCTAAAACCAATGACATTTGATGTTATTGACCTCTCACAGATGCCATATTTGTTTGCGAGCAGCAGCGGAGGTGAAGATTAGCATTGAACAATGACTTTATATGACCTGGAATACACTGCATGAGTAGATGTGATGTGGTGGTCAATCCAAACTGTTGCAGTATAGATAATATCCAGAACTCTTTAAAAATTCTAATAAGTTGCAGCATTCAGGTTTGGAAAGACATGAGGGTATATATATATATATATATATATATATATACAGTGGGTACGGAAAGTATTCAGACCCCC